TGTACTTTTTCCAATGGGAAACCCCAAAACAGCCCGTGAAGGAACATGCAACAGTAAACAATCCCACATCGACATTATTTTGTTTATGTCAATAATTAAATTATTTTGAATGAAGTTTATTATATCAAATAGCAGTAAAATAAAATAAAATAGATTTCCAGTTTTGCTAAATGTATTCTAATTTTCATATACCAAAAAATTATAGCTATAGGGAGGTAGAAATATCCCACCTCATCTAGAATTGTGTTTTTTGCGCATTTCAAAATATAATAATTATATCAATTTTCATCGATATACAACCCAGACATACACTCCCACATAAGGTGTGGGATTATCAACACCAAAACAATAAATTGCTCACAAGACAGCTAATAATTACAATACAAATTACAATAATAATTACAATGATAATTACAATAATAATTGCACTAATAATTACAATAATAATTACAATGATAATTAAAATTCTAATATGAGCAATACTAGGGGCTCCCTTCTATACTCAGTTACACGTGCCCTAAACGCTTCTGCTATTGGTTAATATTAAAATTTAAATAAAAAACAGCGTAAAAAATGATTAGTAGTATTATGGGTATAACAATCAAGAAAAAGTTTCCACTGATTTTCCGGAGTCCATGCGACCAGACAAGTTATAGCCAAACATCCCCACTAAGAACCACACCACCTAAATAAATAACATAGTTGAACTCTGGTGACCTTGCCCTTTGTTATATAATATAATTCCCTTTATCATAGTTTGTTTCAATATAAATATGCATTGTCATAATTAATTTTGAGTACAAACAAGTTTTGGAGTTGAACCAACAGTGAGGAATCAGTCTACCGAATGTCCTTAAAAGATGTAAATATCTTACAAAAACATTGGTGCCTTATTTGTTTAATTATTTTAAGGAACATAATTTCCAGCTTTATTGAAAGTAATTGAGATATTTTAGAATAAAAACAAATGTCTCATTGCAAAAAAAAGTGCTGCATTTAGATGTGAATAGATTTATAAAACATGCAAGATAACAGAAAAATTTAGCTGGCTTTAGTCCAAGTATTTTGTACAGGTGTCTGTCAAAAATGAATGATTCACTGAGACAAATATGAACTGCCTCATTGTGTGACTACTGTATTATACGTAAAGTGCTTACTGTAGAATACTTTATTTTCGCTTGGAATTTATTTTCGCTATTTTCGCTGAAGGGATGATTCCGTGAAAATAAAATCCAGCGAATATACTTTTTTTCCTATATTCCACATTAAACTCATGAAAAATCAGTGAAAATAAATTCCAAGCAAAACGCCCAAAAAGCCTTTTCAGCGAAAATTAATTCCAGCGAAAATAAAGTATTCCACAGTATGTAAATTGACTCAATAAAAAATGTTTTAAATACAAAAAAAATGCCATTACTCAACGTGCAGGTCAACATATGACATCTTATGACACATAAAAAGGTTTTGGAGGTAAAATGCCATTACTCAACGTGCAGGTCAACATATGACATCTTATGACACATAAAAAGGTTTTGGAGGTAAAAGCTGAATGACTTGTGGTGATTGTGAATATTGGTTAAAAGAAACCTGGACATAGATAATTGTCACAGGGAAAGCATGGTACATTACTACACAAAGCACAGGAGTCCAAATTTGTAGCAAGTGAGCCCCTCATCTCTCCTGGACAAATTGTGTCTATCATCATGCATGACTACCATCATCCAGCAGTCAATAACACAGACCTGCCCATGTTTTGATCAACACGATCGTCATCAAAAGGAAGTGATCAGAAAATTTTGTTTGGGGCGTTTCGGAAGGGATGAGTGCTAAGTTGAATGCGAGTCGATCATGGTCGCTAAGTCAGACAAATATGGTATATACCAAGTAACAAATCAATCAAACTACGGTACAGGTAGTAGTTCAAGTCAAATAGCATTTTGATCAAAAATGCCAAAAATTATTTGACACAAAATATTCAAATCTAATAGAGGCCAAGGTACATATATACCAAGTATTAAAGCATGGAGTAGCGGTTATAGTAATACAGTTGAACATAAACATGTCCGAGATATGAATCCACAAGGTGATGATTATTATAATATTTTAACATTAAAATGTTTGACATTCCGTTATCTTGTATCTGATCGTCAAACGAGTACTTGTCCATATTGCTCTGGAACAGCAATAAGTGAAACAAAATGACTACCAGTCGGCCATTTTGAATACATCTTTATATCTATGATGTATGATGAATATATAAAATTTTAACATAATCAGTCAAAGCATGTCAGATATATGGCTCTAAATCGCATTCATTAAAAACAAAATGGCCGCCAGTCAGCCATTTTGAATCTGATCAGAAAAACAAAATGACATACATCAAGGACCAAGTGTCTAATGTACTGTAAAATCTGTATTAGAAGACGCGATTTCTATTAAAATTGTACAATGCAACAGAGGGGATGCACATATGAGAAATCATGAATTTTTGGTTCTCAATTGTTCAAAAAATATGGGTGCAACTTCTATTAGGAATGTGGCTTCTAATACAGATTTTACGGTATGTACCAAGTTTGAACGAAATCGATCTATAAACAACCAAGATGCAGTTCTGGAATGCCAAAAATGCTTGATTTTTGATGATTTGACCATTCGTCCATTTTGAATTGGATGTTCAAACCAATAAAACTGTATATCAACTACAGGACGTTTAATAAATATATAAAATTTGAACATAGTCAGCCAAAGCATGTAAGAGATATGGCACTAAAACTGCATTCATTAAAACAAAATGGGTGCCAGTCAGCCATTTTATATCTGATCTGAAACATAAAATATGTGCATCAAGGTCCCATAATGTTCAATGTATGTATCAAGTTGAAAAAAATCTGTAAACAGCCGAGAAATGCTTGGTTTTGATGATTTTTCAGTACAAAAATGAGAAACAAATTGATGTGCATATGTGTAATATTATGTATGATGTATGTGTGAACTTTGAATGTAATCGGTTCAGGCATGTCTAATATATACATGTAGGTCAGGACGCACAGAGGTAAATCTATAAGTCCCTGTTTTTGGACTGCGCCCAACCGGGGACTAAAAATAGAGATTTGAATATGCAGTCACGAAATGATTAAAACCCATGGAACATGTGCACCAAATATGAAAGCAATAGAGTTAACACTTTTCAAGAAGAAGTTATGGACGTGGGACATAGGATGCAGGACGACAGATAATCACTACACCAACAGCTCTATCTATTCATGATTCCTAAGTCAGGGGTGATTATAGGTGTTAAATGATAAAATATTGGGTTCACTGTTTCCCTTTTGGTATGATTTAACTCTGTGACTTGTTCACTGCAAATGATGATAAAAATATTAAGACAATGTTGTTGAGCAAGGGTACCCTTTCAGGCAATTCTCCATCTTCCAAGATGACAACAGATATTGTTGTTGCCCTTATGGCAAGTCAATAGATGTATAAATTGATGCAGTCCAGTTTAATGAACTTTGACATGATACACAGATCGTAACTTCTGCTGTACATTAAGGGCTCCCGCAGAGCAGCAGAAAGTTTCATCTTATCACTATTGTTGTACAGCAATACTTTTATTTATTTTCTGCAAGACATTTGATTTATTGTCACGAAAAAAAAAACAATCGCCAATTCTCTGATGTTATTGATTATCCCGTGTTATTTGTGGAAAGCATACACACCATTGATATAAGGATATCACAAGTATATTATTTTTTATTATAATAATATGTATATATATGAAACATAGAAGAAATATGATAAAAATAGATAACCAGATATTAACCTTACATAACCATGTATCATGACATTGCCGTAAGGATCCCATTCCATGTGGGTTCCATGCACTTATAAATCAACTTGCTTTTACCAATATTATCACTTAATACCCCTGGATATGGTTTGACTATGAAAACAATGAGAGGTTTAATATTGTTATCAATATTAATTAATATCTATTCAAAAGTAGATAAAATCTCCTTAAAACATACAATTGGTATGAATAGGCAAGGGCACTATAAAAACCCTGAAACAAAAACTAAACATTATTATTTATGTGATCAATCAAGACAGCAGTTAAGCCATATCCCATTATCTACTTTTGATAGAATATAATTTTCGAAAAATTATTATTATATGGTCACGAAACAATCTGATCCACTGACAAGTATATCAAGTAACAGAAATGTTGAAAATGTAAAGTTGACATCGACAATGGATGACAGACAATCAGTAATATAAACAGCTCCACTCTGTCGAGAACAGAGCTAACATAACAATAAAAAAATCCCCATTAGTCAAATGTTACTATCGTTGAACATATCTAAAACAATCTTAATATTAACTCATCCTTTTAACAGTTATTTCTGGTTTGCCAATCCAAGTTCAACAAAAATGTACTACTGGTACCGATAATAATAATACTGCAGTTAAATTAATAAAACATAATTAATTGAATTTCTTGTTATGATTTCTGCAATGTAATTGAATTCATTTGCATAATACTTAAAGAATCAACTTCTCATAAAATAATTCCCACCTACATCCTACGACACTGATTTACCAAAAACTAAATAATTTACAACAGGTGATCAGACATACATGTTTGCTGGACATAATATTATGATTTGTTGTGCTAAAATGGTTTCAACTGTGTTATTCAAAAATTGTCCATGCAACTCATCTATCTCATTCCATTAAAGGGTGGTGGTTGCTGTGTATATATAATTTCATGTAAACAAACAGGGCAATGTTGACCGCAAACTATTTACACACGTTGAAAGCATGCAGACAACCACCAGCCTATAAATAAAACCTGCTACCATTAACACATTGCATGTCATATAGCCAAATGTGGTAGTTAATGTGTTAATTAACTGGACATCAATATGTTCAATACTTAATAATGTATTATACAATACGTGGGCACACTCGCAAATTATTCCCCTCTATAGCCAGCAAATCTAAACATATATTTGGGGTTGTGGTTGGCTCTTATTCCTTGTGTATAAATATCCAGCCAATATAACCAATCCAGCTCCAAAACAAAATTGTAGATTGATGTGAAAACCGAACAGATACACAGAAGCTACCACAGATATCACTAGGGCAAGTGCTGTCGTAAACAATTTCAGTATATTATCCGCATATTTTACCACCAATGCCACAAGCAGACCTCCAAATGCCTGCCAAACTACAACAAACCAAACAAGAGGAGTGTAGCCATGGAAAAACCCTTTCTCTCTGATTGCAGCTCCATCTTTTAAGAACATAGCAACAGTGCTAAACAAGATACCATAAATCCCAAGTTGTATATTCCTCAACCAAACAGATCCTGCGGTTTCCTTGAGAATTTTCTCAAAATAAACAGCAGAGAAACCAGATGACAGACACATAAGGATAACAATGAAAAGACCATATACTGTATCTTGTTGTATGTGCTCCAAGTATTTCTCAGTGTGCTGTTTATCTGTATCCTTGGGTTGTATCTGCACAACAGCAACTCCAATGAATAGAATAACCAGTGATCCCCACTGCACACGACTCAGAGTCTTCCTCAACATCAACATAGAAAACATAGCAGTTGTAAAAATCTTCATTTGCATTGATGCCTATGAACAAAAAATAGATAAAACCATGAAAATTTATTTTCATTCGCCAAAGAGCAATCATTCACAACCACTGAATTTTTGGCATAGAAAGGCATACAACATTCACCCCCAAAACTAAAACAACCGATATGTGTAATTAGCAATTTGTCAATTTATTCTTTCAATCACATGAATCTCAGAGACATTTGATTAACCAATCAAAATGAGTATATCAGTTATAAAAATCATCATTACATTGTAAAATAAATTAAATAGGTATCATCTTTTAATGAATCAAGTGTTTTTTGAATAGATGCACATGATTTTGGTCACAGTAACAGGAATAAAAACAACCTATCTCAGTTGAGATAGCTCCACTGTTAGCAATGCACATTTCAACTGAAGATATTATTAGAAAATGAACAAATCTGAAAGAGGTCTATCTGAGGTACCTACATGTAAAACATCAAAGCAATCTGATTTGCGGTTTTTAAGTCGAAAATATCACTTTTTACCAAAAATGACAAAATATTCATCAAAATTAGAGAATTGAAGATATCATCATGAAATGAACAAATCTGAGAGAGGTCTACATGTAGTACCTATATAGACACACAATGGTCTTTTATTTACAAATTAAAGGCCATCAGCCCATAAAAGTATTTACACGTACAAGAAGAATATTCGAAAAATAAAAATACTTTACAGAATATTTAAATAAAATCACATATCTTGTTCCTAAGTTTCAATGCATGAAAGATGTATGCAGCCAGTGTTTACAACCACTGGCTGGTAGTACCTATATGTATAATAGCAAAGCAATGCTACTTGCAGTTTTTAACAAGAAGTCAAAAATTTATATCACCAAAAACGGGCAATCACTCATATGATAAGCTTGCTCGACAAAGTCGACAGCGGAGCTAAAAAAGCTAAGAAAGAACTCCTGTGTGCTGAGAGTACTGATTGCATATTTAAAAATATTTCAAAATTTAAGATTAGCCAATCACACAAGAAGCTTGGTGACTAATATTGATACTATTTGAGATGCACAAAACAAAATCAATGTGATCAACAATATTGAAGTTTATAATACAGTCTGCATTCTGATTTATTTCAGAAAATGTCTGCCCAGTTCAATTAAATCTGATTTTTTGAGGTATCACAAATTGACTAATAATTAGATAATCACGTCTGTGGATTACCCCAAGCTTCTATGTACCAAATTTCATTTGTTTTATTAGAATGTGATGATTATTTCATAAAAACTTCTGTGTGCTGAAGGTATTCAGTAACAACAAAATTGAACCTTAAACTGTACATGTATATGGCTTATCCCTAAGCATCTATGTACCAAGTTCATTGAATATTATGAGTGTATGAGATATTGGTGGAAATATTGGCTAAATAATATGCAAATAAGTCATAAATTTACATGGCTTTCAATTAAAAATAATCAGGTCTGCATATTAACCAAAAACATCTATGTTTCATTAAAATCTGTTGAATGGTACTTGAGAAACTGACAAAGTGAATAAGCTTAAAATTGGCTAATTAACAAGCAAATTAGGTTCTGATCTGTTAATTGGTTATAGAGATATCAGTGGAACAGAAACACAGACATATACACACAGACACACTAACCGCAAAGACTCCCATTGCGTGCTTAGCATGCCCAAGTCAAAAATGCCATTACTATGCAAATCAGGTAATTAGTATGTACATATTTTAACATAAAACTAATCAGGACTGTGCAGTGTCACAGGGCATCTATGTAACAAGTTTAACTGAAATGTGATTAGTACTTGAGATATCATTAGAAAACAAACAAGCAGCCTCTCGGCTGAGATAGCTCCGCTGTTAGCACTGCGCATTTCAATTAAAGAACAGAAGATATCATTAGAAAATGAACAATATGCATTGTATCAATGCAATGGGACTTGCTGTTTTCAACAAGAATTCAAAAATATAATTTTTAACCATAAATGATTGTGGTTTTTAACAAGAAGAAAATATCACTTTTTACCAAAAATGACAAAAATATTCATCAAAATTAGAGAATTGAAGATATCATCATGAAATGAACAAATTTGAAAGTGGTCCATATGTAGTATCTATATATGTAATATCAAAGCAATTGGACTTGCGGTTTTTTACAAGAAGTCGAAAATATCACTTTTTACCAAAAATTACAAAAATATTCACAAAAAATTAGAGAATTGAAGATATGATCATGAAATGAACAAATCTGAGAGAGGTCTACCCAAGGTACATATACACCAAGTATCAAAGCATTCAGGCTTGTAGTTTTCAAGAAGAAGTCGAAAAAGTAAAACATTGACACGGACGATGGAGCCGGACGACGACGGACAATCACTCATATGATAAGCTCCGCTCGACAAAGTCGACAGCGGAGCTAAAAATTATGCAAATAAGGTAATTAATATTCACAGATCTCAATCAGAAACTAATCATGAATGTGCATTATCCCAGACCATCTATGTATCTAGTTTCATTGAAATCTTGCTTAATTCTTGAGGGAAAAGTGAAAAGACTTGACATTTTCTAACTAATATGCAAATTAAGTAATTACTATACATGAATTTAAACCAAAAACTAGTTAAGTCTGTGCAATATTCCAAAAGTAAATATTGCATATTAGGTAAGTAGTATGCACGAATTGCAACCAAAAATTGAACTAGCCATGCATGGCACTGTCCCCGTTAGTTATCGAATTTCAGATATATAGTTTTATTTATACTGGTAGTAATATAGCTGGAATATAACCATGTCAGGAATATGATTACGATGATTGTTTAACATTAAAATGATTGACATTTATATCTGATTGTCAAACGAGTACTTGTCCACATTGAGAGATATTGCTCTGGAACAGCATTAATTAAAACAAAATCAGCCATTTTGAATACATGTATATATCTATAATATGATGTATAATGAATATATAAAATTTGAACATAATCAGTCAAAGCATGTCAGAGATATGGCTCTGGAAGCCCATTTTTTAAAACAAAATGGCCGCCAGTCAGCCATTTTAAATCCCATCTGAAAAATAAAATGACGTGCATCAGGAACTCGTAATGTCTAATGTTTGTTATAAGTTTGAACAAAATCCATCCATAAATGCTAGAAAAGCTTGATATTTGATGATTTTTTAGCACAAAAATGGCCACCATTCAGAAATTTTTAATAGGATCGTCAAACCAATATATCTGTACATCTATGACATGATGTGTAATGAATATTTAAAATTTGAACATAATCAGTCAAAGCAAGTCAGAAATATGGCACTAGAACCACATTCATCAAAACAAAATGGCTGCCAGTCGGCCATTTTTAATCTTATCTGAAAAACAAAATGATGTGCAT